CTATTTCTTTTTATATGAATCTTGGGTTTCAACTTTCAAGTTTTTTAAGTTTTTTTTTTTTTATTTTATTTTAAAATTTTGTCTTATACTTGTTAATAAATATGTTCTAACAAAAAAAATTAGTATACTCTCCCTGTTCTAAAATAATTAATGTTTTTTATTTAAAATTTGTCCCAAAATAATAGTGGTTTTTTCTTAATTTAAGGAAGAAAAATAGTTTTTTTCTACTTTAACCCTATGATTATCTATTAACTTTAATTATTTATATTCTAATTGAAGTTGATATTTATTTTTAGTTATTTTTCAAGTATAAAATAAGTAAAAATAAAAATTGTTTCCAAATCTTTAATATGAGGATAAAACAAAAAATCTATTATTTTAATATGGAGGGAGTAATATTTAAATAATGAAATTTATTGATTTTTTATTATTACAAAAAATTGTATAATTGATATTATTACTGTTGAGCATCATTATCGAATAGATATTTTCAATGCTACAATAGATTGCCAATTGCAAGAATTGAATTGTAGATTTAATGAGAATGTAATGGAACCATTGACTCTTAATAGTGCCTTAGATCCTAAAAACGGGTGAAGAGTTTCAATATTTGATGATATTTGTGAGCTTGTAGAAAAATACCATCCTCAAGATTTTTTAGAGATGGAGAAACTTCATTTGAGATCAGAGCTTCAACATTATGAGATTGAAACAAGTTGTGATAAGGGTTTTCAAAATTTGTCAAATATTTCTAAGCTATGTTAATGGATTGTGGAGACAAGAAAATCAAAGGTCTACGATCTCATTTACTTTGGTACTTACTCTTCTAGTTTCTATGGTAACAACAGAAAAAGCATTTTCTATCATAAAAACTGTGAAAACAAGACTTCGCAGCAAAATGAAAGATGAATTCCTTTTAAACTGTTTGATTATTTATATTGAAAAAAAAAATAATTTTAGACATTTAGTGTAAACTCTATTATAAATAAATTTCATGATATGAAGACTTATTTAGTATTATTTTAATTTATGATATAAAAGTAAGTTTTTGAAATTATAATGTATTTTTTTGAAACTTGAAAATCTGGCCTCTTTTGACTAAAATTCCTGGCTCTGCCACTGACTCTAACCCATATAGTGTTAAACTCCCACCAGTCCAGTGGTAGCATTTATTCCATATTTTTTCCATTGTTTTACATTTCAGGAACAAATGATCTCTATCTTCAAGCTGTTCTTAGGCAAAAAATAAGTTCATCTGCACTCTTAAGAGTTCAAAGGTTCTTGGAGGTTTAAGTCGTTAGAATGTGCCAATTTTAGGCTCATTTTCTTTGTTTTGAACTAATGTGAAATTGATGGAAATATATAGGGATAGCATTGTCAGGCCTCAAAACCCGAATTCGAGGTGCGACAGACGCCGTGCACTCGTGAACGGATCCCACGAATGCACAATGCTCGGAACTTATCCAATACACATATGATAATCCAATAACTCAAATCCGATTATCTCAAAATAATTCTATGTCCAACATGACAACCTCAAAATCTCCAGATCAAATCTCTTGTAAACTAACAATCTACTAAATGAAGTTATAAATCTCCAATTACAAGATCATGATCATTATCTCAAATCTATATCGATTACAATTGACTAGCCTTCTAACTCGTCACTCCCCTCGATTTCCCCGTCCTCGGTTTCGCTTCCTGAAATGGTGGACAAAAAAAACTATGAGATAACTCAGTAAGTAAATATGGATAGCCCTTGGGTAAAACTTTTAAGCATGTCAGATAAACCGTTTAACATAACAAAACACTTAATAACAAAATCAGATTCAGTTCAATTGCAAAGCATTTAATGACAAACCATCAATGCAAAATCAATTTCAGTTCCATAACAAAACGTTTCATGACAAACCGTTCATGCAGAAGAAAATTCAGTTCAGTAGTCTCATCTATAAGTCATGGCCAGCGTTTATAAACCTCCCACTGACGGACACAGTAGTTACCAATGTTTAACCCCATTGGCAAGGTTACAGAAGTACCAGTGTTTAACAAACTCCCATTGGCAGGCGTTAATAATGGTACCAGTGTTTACAACTCCCACTGGCAGGCGTCAGTAATTACCAATGTATTCGCCCATTGGCAAGCGTTAGTAGTACCAGTGTTTACAAACTCCCACTGGCAGGCGTCAGTAATGACCAATGCTTAACCTCATTGGCAGGGTGAACCGGTTCTATAGAAATACATGTCGACATATGCTAGCGTTTACAACTCCTACTAGCGGGCGTCAGTAATCATGACTATATCCGAGACAAAACCATGCAGAATTTACAGAAAAACCCCAAAATTCACAATCGAAATCCGAAATTCACAATCAAAATCCCAATTTCAGAAATAACCAGAAAATTTTCATGTGAGCATGGATTTAACAGAAAACTCAGAATTTACAACTCTCAGTTCATCAAAACAGATCAGTCAATTCCAAATAGGCATGCTCTACTCAATGGAATGAAAACAATTTCACTCCAATCATGCTCAATTCTAGAAAACAATGAAATTCCCATTTTCATTCCAATCATGCTCAATTCTAGAAAACAATGAAATTCTCATTTTCATTCCAATCATACTCAATTCCAGAAAAACAATGAAATTCCCATTTTAATCATGCTCAAATGCAAATAAATCCATTTAAATCTTGCCACCATCTCAAAAACAGTTTAAAACATGCTTTAAAATCGAAGGGCTTTACCATAATTTACTTACCTCACTCGCACAGAACAGAAGGCTAACCCAAGTGCTACGGTGACAGAACGATCAAAACCTAATCACAATATTCCACAATTAATACCGTACTACCACAAATTCACAGTAAAATCATCATTAGCACTATCCCTAATCCCAGTGCTATTTCGATCCATCTCCACATAACCGGACATCTCTAAATTTATTCTTATATCACAAACTAATCATTTAAATCCCCGCTAATCGTTAACCCTCGGTGTGTGAACAGTGTCCATGAACAGTACTCACGCCGTGAACAGTACTGCAACTTCCAAAAATTAGCAAAACCATAGCTAATCTCACGGGATTTTCACACAAAATCACAACAACCCATTTCAAGCTAATTTCCTACTTAAACCACTCTTAAAAACATAGCTTAAAGCTACCCAAAATTTCCCCAATCTCACGGGCAGGAAAGCATGGCTTTGGCAAACCACACTCACACACACGGGATTTTCTCTAGACAAATTCACAACAATTACTAAGTTAATTTCCACTTAATTTAAACAAAATCCACTTAAAGCTACTAAAATTCCCCCATTTTCCAGTAAAATCCGAACACCACAGAGCAACCACAACAAGGACTAAATTCAGCAAAGGCAACAACCAATTGGATAAAATTGGACTTAGAAGAGCCGGCAACTTACCAGAATTCCAGCAAGCAAACCGGAGCTGGCAGGGTGAAGAAGCCGGCGGCATTTCTGCAGGGGGGGCTCACAGGCTACCTCAAAATTGAGGGAAATAAAAGCAATTAAGGTAAACCCAGCCTAAATCAAGCTAAAAGATGAAGTTTATGGCTGTGGCTTACCCGAAAAATGCCCAAGAATTCAAACCCACATACAGCCGGCGGACAGGGGAGAAGAGCAGAGCAGAACCGAGATTTTCTGGGTTGAGAGGAAAGATTCTAAGCCCCAATCTTGTGATTTAACAAGAAAGGAAGAGGAATTTCAAGCCTCTTTACCAGTTTTCAAAGGCAGAGGCCGTCGGTAGCTTAGGGGGGGCTTTCGGGTGCAGGGGGAGAAGAAAGAAAAGCAGATGCGCGGATAAGGAAGAAGAAAGAAAGAAAAAAGAAAAAGAAAAAGCAATTTATCCTTATCCAAATTTTCTTTCTTTTTAGTCCCTCAACTTTTAAAAATTTTACGATTAAGCCCCAAAATAAAATTTTTTTCCTCAAATAAGTCCCCAATTTAATGCTAAAATACCCCAAAATTTTGGGATATTACCAGCATGTTGTGTCAAGTGGAGGCTAAAACCAGAAGTATAAAGATTGCAAAAGAGAAGAGGATCGCGACAAAGCACAAAGTTTCAAGTTCAGTCTTGTCTTATTAAAGGTATTTAGCTCATCATATAATATTGAGTCTGTAAAGGCGGGATTGTAATGGATATGCTTTATTTTGGGCTGCATTTTGGGTTGATTTCCTTTTGAGCATCGGAGTAGCATCTATACTATTTTAGTAAAATAATAGAAAACACAAATCATGAATAAAATAAAAAATTAATATATAAAAGAACTCAAAAAATACTAATACATAAAGAAAGAGAGGAAACCGTCTATAGAGAAAATTATTTTATTTTATTTCATAATTTAGAGCATTATGATTTAGGGGTCAACCAATACAACAGCAAATAAAAGTTGCTCTCCGCACCTTTACACAATTACCTCCGTTAGGAAATCCTTCTGAAATACAGAGTGTCTGCAATCATTTAGTACATAATCACAAATCCCAAGCAAGGTGGTACTCGCTGTTGAGCATATGCTAGCTGGCCCTACAAAAATGCTACGAACCAATTACATAGTTTTTGTTACTACACTCTTAAAATTTAAAAGTTACCGTTAGATTCGATTAATCAATTACATTTTTGTATCTTTAATATTAACGCGAACCGTTTCACATAAAACACTTAAAAATACCATTAACTTGTATTTATGAAATCAAAATGGAGCTTTAGATAGAATATTGTACCAGAAGTGAAAAGCAAAACTAAGAATAATATCCCCATGAATGAGGCTTGATGAGTAAGTGTTACGAATTTTGAGATAGCCATTTCTTCCCTGAAGAACAAATCTGCTCTTTCTCTCTTGCTGTGAATTGCGAATTCGGTCTAACAATTTCTCCATTTTATACCATAGAAACGCATCTTTAAATGGAAAAAAATATATAAAATCTATATATGATTCGATTTTATGTTCCTATTTTGGGATGATAGCTAAATTACTCACTCCATTCAATTATGGCAATTTTAATTTGACTTTTTAGATATTAACTTCAAACAAAAATTTTATCAAATTTATAAATGACAGTTGAAAATTTTTTTGTTCATATATATAATTCTTATTAAATAGTTTCATTTGATTAAAAAAAAATTTAATTTTCATTTACATACAATGTTAAATTTTCAACTAAAATTAATGTCTAAAACTTCAAAAAGTCAAACTAAGGGAGAAAATGTGTAAACAAGGATACGAAATTCAAAATTTTCTCTATTTAAGGATATGAATTTTTTGGGTTACTAAATCAAGTTGTGAACTTTTATTTTCTCTAAATAAGAATACAAACTTTGCAACTTTTTAAAATAAGGATACAAACTTTACTTTATTTCTATTCAAGGATGGTGATAATAACATGGCAAACGGCAATCTTAATTGAAATAAGGAAAGTTCATATATTTATATAGAAAAAATAGCAAAGTTTGTATCCTTAAATAAACAAAAATGAAAGTTTATAACTTGATTTAAAATTTTTAAAAATTCTTTTCCTTAAATAGAAACAATAGCAAATTTCATTTCATTATCTAAACCTTTCTTTCAAACAAGACAACTAAAGTCCCTGTAAGATAGGCCCCATACAACGTTTTCCTAAATTTTTCTATTTAGGGAAAAATCTTTATATGTTAAGCTCTGAACTTCGCCCATATTTGCAAATAAGGCCCTAAACAAAAATTCAATCTTATAACCCCCTAAAGGCCTGGATCCGTGCATATTAACTCTTAACAGATTCTGTTAGTTCCGTCACAGTTTCCTATTAGCTCTCTGAGAATTGACGTGCTTACGAAGAAAGTGGTTAAAGTGCAATTTACTCCACAAGCTTTTCTAATTTCTATGACAACTAATTCATGAACTTTTTACCTGTGTTGCTATTTTTCTACCTTTTTTTTTTTTTTTTTAAGAACAATCAAGAAATAACTCATTATTATTTCATCCTACAATGACCATATCTGCCCTCCGCAGTGTTGTTTGCTTGTAAAGAGGATCAAATTATAAAATAATTGATTCTATTATAAAAGGAAGAAAAAAAATAATCAAATCATATAGTGATTGATCTAATTGTAGAAGGAAAGAATATCATGCTATTATAAAAATTGATTAACAAAGGAGAAATTAATTAATCAATTGATTGATTTCAAGATTTAATATTGATTGTAATTTTATTAATAGAGTATTTCTAATTAATTGTTATTTCCTTATATTATATATCCATCACTCTATAAATAACGTTGCTCATATGTAGGAAAAGTATGGAAGAGAAATATAAGTGCAAAAACCACCATTGATTAGGGGGCCTTGATTTATCATAATGTCCTAACACTGTTTTGAATCACATAATATCATGTCTTTCCTTTCTCCCTCATTTTTTTTTTATTCATGTTATTGCTTTTTATTATCATGAGATTTCTACTAGTAGATATTTTCTCACTATATTAAAAACTTTTTTTTGGTATTAGAGCAACTCGATATGGGATTTCCCTTAGCTTTCCACATCAAAGTTGAGTAAGGTTTATTTTTTCCCTTTTTTTCATCCTTTTTGTCCACCGCTTTTATCTTCCAGTCTTTTTTCTTTTCTTTTCTTTTTTGTGAAAAAAAAAAAGAGAGATGAATAAAAAAAAAGCCAAAAAAAATCTTTTGAAGATGCCAGTTGGCCATCTTTAAAAAAAATCATAAAAAAAAAAAAGAAAAAAGAAAAAAACTTCTACTTTCTTACCAGGACAAAAGAAACCAAAGGAGACCATTCGGCCATGAGTTCTCTCTGCAAGCCCAAAAGTTTTGGAGAATGAGTAACACTAGTTGGAGGTGACTTACAAGTAAGTTGGACACTCAATTAATATCTCCGTGCTCCAATTTGAGGACAGTAAAGAGGATCAAATCATAAAATGATTGATTCTATTTAAATCATGTAATGATTGATTCAATTGTTAAAGGAATGAATATCATGCCATTATAAAAATTGATCAACCAAG